ACAAACAATGTATTGTGGTAAATCATCCGCTGATTACGAGGTGGAAGGTCAGTCTAAGAGTCCTGAAGGACTAATCTGTATACCTTCTGATCAAGCATGAGAAGGTACTTCGGTGACTGATAGAGCACTTTAAGTAGTTCCATAACCCACGAGCAACTGCACGAAGACTTGCCTTAACAGAAACATGGAATGGGTTTTAATCTTTCAGTAGCTGATTACAGAATCTGTGAAGCGGAAAGTGGAAAAGTCACTAGAATCGATAAAAGCCGCCCCAATATGCTTAAAGCGTTAAGCGGACAAGATGTGAGGCGTGTTTTGGCATGTCTCTGTCAAACTGCAATTACTGGAGGGAAAACATCAGTGGACAGGAAAACAGTACTAGTAATACTCCTGTTTCAGATCAACGATCATAGGGAGTGCTTCTATTATTGGGGTATTACTTTATCAAGCCTAAGGGGTAAAGCCCAAGCAAAGGTGCTAGAATGCAGGTGCCGAGGAATAACTGACTCTTAGATACAAGAAGAGCAGCGTGGTTTCGCCTGGTCCACACTTCTGACAAAACATTGACCATACATCAGATCGTTGAGAAATCGTGAGAGTTCACTTACCCGGTGCACACTGACCTACAGAAAGCCTCTGACCGGATCCCCGCAAAAATTTAGATCAACGTTCCTATGGGCCATCCAATCACTATATGCTGATAGTCAGTGATGTGTCAGAGTAAAACGGCAAATGGCGTAAAGTCGAAGCCTCTCCGCCAAGGCTGGGTCCTGTCCCCTCTCCTGTTCGTGTTGTCCATAGATAGCATTGTCAGGTGCAGTCAAGTTTTTGATGAGTGTATCGGTGTAGGAGATGACGAGACGAGATGGTTGCTGTCTGCAGACGACCTTGTTTTCTGGCATCTTCTGAAACTGATCTACGGCGCTCTCTGGAAAGACTTGCAGCTTACTGTGACGTGGTTAGTACGCGCGTAAATGCCTAGTTTTCCCGCTATCATGTTCATTTCTTACTTTAGGTAAAGAAACAGCAAGTAGATGAAGAAGCTCAAGTGCCTCCATGGTGTGCTTGCTGGTGACAGAAAATCTGAGGGAAGATCGGTCGCTGAATTTGAATCGTACGGAGTTTGTGAACTTGTGTGAAGGGTTGTAAACTAAACCACAGGGCAGTATGAAGAATAAGCTGTCTGTGTTCAAGTCGAACTTCTTCCGTATGGTCACTTCTGGTAATGAATCTTGGTCATGACTGAAAAATTCTGATCTCGAGTACAAGTGGCATTAGTGAGCTTTTTGAGACAAATCAGTGGGATCATGCGTCTCGAAATAGTCCGGAGTTCAGATCTTCGAGAGAGCCTTTGTGCAGAGTTCTTGCCACTGCGGATTCAGAGTAACACCTGCAATGGTTTGGACACAATTCATCTTGCGAATGATTCCACAAAAGAAGGCAAAAAAGCTAGTACGTGTCCAACTGACCAGTTGAAGACCCCGGAAATAGTCACGAATGACTTTTGGCAAGGGTCTGGAAAAGGTGTTTGAAAGTCAGGTAATCTTCTGCCGAAGATGAAACGGATCGAATCAGGAACGTTACAGACATGGTTTGGCGAGTCTGTCTCTGTGACCTGAATGGATAAGTGGTCTTTGAAAACCCAATGATCGCTGGGTCACAAATTAACCACTGAAATCTGCAAATAAATCCTTCACAATACGCACAATCCCTCATTGCAATGTATAAAATGTTTGCCACTCGGAAGTCTGCACTTCTCACACTGAATCAAGATCTGTGCAATCTGTCCTGTCTGAAGAGCAGAAGTTGCTATAAGGACGGCGGAAAACTCGGGAAGACATGATGAGGTCATAGCACTACCTGATAAAGCGTAAATATCATGTGACTGCCAGTCAAACTGTATGTTCCGTTACGGGTAATTATTTTTTGTATATCATTGCCCTCCATGAACCCATGTTAGACCAACACTATGCCGTGATGGAAAAAGTTGTTGAATGTGATTTAATAATAGTGGCGGACAGTTGCACGGGGACAGTGAGCTATCGCGACGGAACGAATAGATGGAAGGACTTCAGCTGATATTAGTTTCAAACGCGGTGTAGTAATAATGAGCAACGATTCCATTTCGCCGAACAAAACAGGCTGGTTGTGACGAGCACGCTGTCCCAGTATAATTCAATGCGTCTATTAAGGTAGTTCGGAAATCCACGGCAAATCACACTGATAATGTACTGGCTAATGCAAAATGAACTAATTGTGCTTATGACAGCAAGGAAACGTGCGCGGGCCTAAGATGCGGCAACATGCACCAAACAGGCTACGTTTCACGGTTTATGCATGTCTAGTGGACGAAGAAAATTAAACCTCAGTGAGATTCATACCAATTATTCGAATGCTCGAAATAAGGACGTGGTTGAGGCGTTTTAGGACTACAGGGAGTCTCTGAACACCCACTGCTAAAACAAACAACACCATGGAGCAAATGTGGCCATCGCTGAACTAGACTTTGTAGAATATTGCTACCAACACTTGGCCACAAAGCACCGCATAAACGAGTGATCACGCATGCATGCCCGGCTTACGGCATTATTCAGTCTGGCAGGGAACGTAAGGCTGAATTCTGCTATTTGGCAGAAATCACGTACACCTGTCAACGCGGATAATAACACCTATTGGAAAGAAGATGTTAACGCAACGGAGCATGCTACTGAAGTAGGCAACACGAGAAAACTTTATCAATTTATAATTTAACGCAGACGGGAAATATGGTATGTTATTCTACACACAGCACAGATTCTGAGTCGCCGTGATCAAGGGATGGACCACTACATGGGACATTTTAACCAGTTGGCGAGCAATACTCCTCTACCTTCAGTAGAGTTTCTTCAGTTGCGCAGACACATGGTACATGCCGTTATCAAGTAGTTGAAGCGAAATAAAGGTGATGAGGATGATCTGTCAACAGAGCTATACGGTGGAGTCCTACAGAAGTCGTTCGTCTCCTCCATACAGGAACTATCTTGTCATGCTTGATGTGAAGACCAAAAAATGCCACATGATGGAATGATGTGCTGTTACTCCCAATCTTGAAAAATGGTGAGAAAAACTTGTTAAACTATGGTGGAAAAAGCTTAAATTGATGTGACTAGAAAAATCTTCAAATCATCATTGCCCCGGAGGCTCCAAGTCACTCGTGACAAACGTATAAAAAGAAATCAGGCTGGCGTCGATGATAGCACATTGTGTGACGTGCGCTGGAACATCAGTACCGTTTTTACCAGCAGGCTGTTTTGAACTTCACAGGTTTGTAGGCAGCGTTTGATTCCGTTCATTGAGACTCCATGTAGTACGTTATGGAACAGATTGCATTCGTGGGAAGCATGCAAACCGAATTAAGGAACAGTACCTCAAAACACGAACGAGACTCCGGTGCAACAGTAAACCGAAGCATGTTTTTGACTGCTTCAGGCGTCTGTCAGGGCTGTGTCTTCTCCAATTTTCCATTCCAGTCTGTCACTGATTAGTTCATGCAAACGGTGCTGAAAAATTTTCGAGTGGAAGTGAGTCCTGTTCACTATATCACTCATACTGACAACGACGATCATATCGTCATCACATCATCTTACCATCACGACACAAATGTATCCTTAAGTAAATCGATTTCACTGCAGCAGAGCGACAGTCGTCAACGCAGCAGAAACGAAAACATTGACCTCACGGATGTAATGACAAAAGAAAAACCTTATCCTTCCCTTGCATGAGTCACCCTCCTTGATTATTCATTGTTTCGTCCATTCTTTCCAATAGTAAGTCTATCCATGAGCTATCGACTCCGCAGTAGCAACGAAAACTTTCTCTCAGTTGGATCAAAGGCGGTGTTAAAACGAAGCGTCGAATTCTACATGATGCAATCCGCTCAATTATCCTTTATGTATTAGGAATCGAATCCTTTCCTTGTTCTTTTCAAATCATCCGGAAGACATGATTGATCAACCGTATATTCAACGTCACAATCCTAGCTCTGTCTTTAAAAAACGACTACGTTGGTTGTGGCACCTTCTAAAATGCTCCACCCAGTAAATAACCTCAAATACACTGAAGCCACCGCTGATTCCAGGATGACATGGAAAGCGGAAAATATTTTAAGGCCTAGTTGGACTTTATAAGAGATGACGCGTCAATTCTTCCTGTGACAGCAGAGTATGGGAAAATCGGTGGCGAAAGGGCCGCATGAACCTGGTGGCGAATATCGCGCATAATTGATAGAGATGGAAAGGAGCGATCCTGCAGATTGATAAAGCCGATTAATCCTATGGCTCAGCCGTATCAAACAAACTGTAACGAATTATCACCAGTACTATATCTGTAGACGACAAGGTGCAACTGTTCAATTGCAAGATGTATCTTATCTAATAATCTTCGCAAGCAGAAGTTGGGTATCAGCAAAATGCTACAGAGCTTATGGTTCTCACTGGCATGCTAAAGTTACCTTGATATACTCAACGGCTGACTTTCCGCCGACAGAGGGTCTAGGACGTCACTGGTGCCGGCTAAAGCAGCGGTTTTACAGGTGTAGAAACAACGACTTTAGAAGTATAAAACAAACTACTAATGCGCTTCGGCATATTCATATATTTCCATATCAATTTCAGTCAATACTAGCATAACTCTCAGTGATTTCGTAGATACGGTTTCCTGTGACACAAATACCTCAGCTTCGACCATGGGTAACATTTATCGTTATCGATCAACGGGACTAACGGCTGATTTTCTGATCTGAAAGCGTATAATTTCTTCAATGAACGAATGCTGACCGTTTTCTGCGTAAACGTGATTCCACCATAGCATATATTCGAGCTATGGTTTTTATACCGACCCATATAGCAGAAGAACGTCATTATATCCATCCGCTACGACTAAAAGGATAACTGACATGATAGCGGAAAAGTGGAAGTGAGCATCTTGCAAGTTCCGAAGAACAAGATGAAAGAGTAGACAAAGAGAAACATATTCAAAAAGTCTCAGGAGGTTGTTTTGTCTGGCAAGACGGATAAAAGGAACTACCGTATATCAGACCTGTGTAATAACATTATGAAAATAAACTTGTACAGCTAAAGAATGAG